TTGAAAAAAAAATATAAGATTGAAATAACTTCATAAAAATAAAATTAAAAAAATATATATTATAAAGCCCAATTCTCAAATAATTTAATATTAAAAGATAAAATTAAAAAATAACTAAATAAAAAAGAAGCTTGAGTTGCTGGATGGTTAAATTAAAAAGGAAATATTCAATTAAAAAAGAACAAAAAAAACTGAATTGAGTCAATGTGTCACCTAAGTAATGACATTATGATAAACTATAGAAAGAGAATAAAAAACAAATACAAAGCCTAATTTCCAACCAATTCAATATTAAATAATGAAATCGAAAAAAATCAATTAAAAACAAGTTCAAAAAAAGCAATCAAGTTAACTTGGATTAACTTGTTAAGCCTATAACCTAGGATATGAGACCGTGATATATTGATAAAATGTAAATAAAAAAAATTATGAAGCTCTATTTATAACAGGTCCAATGTTGAAAGTTGAAATAGAAAAAAAAAATATAAATCTATGAGACTAGAATAACTTTGTAGAAAGCAAATTAAAAAAAAAATCAAGAAGGTCAATTCCCAAACAATTTAATATCAAAGAATGAAATTGAAAAAAAAAACTAAATAAAAAAAAAGATTGAATTATTGGAGGGTAAAATTAAAAATAAATTAAATTAAAAAAAACCTAAGAAATGTCAACCTTGTCAATTCAGGATAACTTGCAAAAACCACGATGCACGTCATGCAGTCAAGATAACTCTATAAAAAATAAATAAAAAAATTTAGGAAGCCTAATTAAAAAAAATTAATTTAACAAAAAATTTATCAAAGTTAAGTTGTTAAATTCATGACCTGAATAATGAGATCAAGTTAACTTAAAAAAAAATAAATCAATCATAAAAAGTAAATCAAGAAAAATTATGAAGATAATTTTCAACCAATTAAAATAGAGTGCTGAAAAAAAATTCATGTCATCTCAAGTTGATCTATTAAATCTGAAATCTTAATTTTAATATTGGGATGAATTTATAAAAAACAAATAAAAAAAATAAAGCTCTATATCGATCTAACGTTAAAGATTAAAATTAATAAGAAAAAAAATCCATATGATCGGTATCTAACCAAACAAAAAGAAAATCAAACAAAAAAATGAAGCTAAATTTCTAAAATAATCTAATATTCAAAAATAAAATTAATTAAAATAATAAGAAGATTAGGTTATCAAAGGGTGAATTTTTAAAAAATAAAAAACTTAATAAAAAAGAAGAAAAACACTAATTCAATTAATAATATTTTGTAAATGTAGCTACAACAATTTAGCAACCAATGTCTTGTCAATAAATAATAATTACCTTTTTTCTATATTTTTTTTATGTAGCCTTTGCATTTAATTTGACCACTCTATTGCAAGAAGGCATTCTTGACCATTGTTCAGAGGCCTTAAAAACACTACACATGGAGTAATATCATTTCCAAGAATACGCCTGTGTTTATTCTTTCTTCTTTTTTTTCTTTTTTTTTTCCTCCAGGTAAACTACACAGAGATTCAACTTTATTTTTTTCTATTTAAGTGTATCAACTTTATTTTTTTTATTTTTAGTGTGTGAATTTTTAATGTTTTTTTTATTAATATGAGTATCTAGATTAGCTTATAAACATCTCAACTAATCCCATATATCTTGAAATTAATAAATATATAAGTTTTTAATAGCCATGAAAGAATACAAATTCATGACCATTAAAATACAAATTTAAGACAAAATACAAATTTAAGACTTAATGAGTTAAATTTTCCATCAAAATTTATATAATCAAGAATTATTATCATATATTACCAAACTGATTAAACTGTTAAATTGACACATTAGTTTGGATGAGCATTATATTCTATTTCTAATCAAGTATCTATACTCTAGTTATTTTTTATTTTACATGCTTCTATTTTTTATCCAAGTATCTTAATTTTCATGATTTACCCTATCGAAGGCTTCAAATTAACAAAATAAATATCGGCTTTGGAATCTTATGATTATGTTTGTCATAGATGATCGCTTGAACTATACTTGTACTAGGTGACGATGGCCATCTCAAATGAACTAGTAATTAACTATGTATGTGCCTGCGCTATGCAACAGGGCACTGAATCGTTCATTAACTTTGATCGCTTGAAACCGGAAGGCAACTGAAAGAAAGTTCATCGACAATGGCTTGGAACGAAAGAGAAGAAGTCAATTAAAAATGCGTTGATATGACAAACATTGCAAGAAAAAGGCCGAAACGAGCAGTAAATGCATAGAACATACATTGGTTTTAGGAAGATCACAGTTCTAGAAGCAGCAGTAGTGGATGCTAAACAACATAGCATTTCCTTAGCGTGCCTTGCAAGTTTTGCTTGTGAACAGACAATGAAGTTGTCGTTCTGCACATCCTTCTTCTAAATCTGCAGAAGAGGCCTTG